GGAACATTGGTGCACACGAGAGTTAGCGCAGCGTGGTTTTGTCTAGCGAGTGTCCGCTTTTTAGTTTTTTCTGGCAATTTGGGCCCTTTAGAAGGCACCAGTGGAGTTGACGGTAAAAGCTGAGTTCCGCCATGCGTGCTCGGTACAGAAGGTAGACCTACGTGCGTCGCTCCCAGGGTGTTTGTCGTGGCAATAGATGCGTACATTACCTGCTTTTTATCTGTACCTGAGGGCCTCTGTCTCTGAGCTGTCGGTGTCATGGCTGAATCTACAGGGGAAGCGTGTTCGGTTGCGTCTGGGATACTAGTCGGTAATTAATGACACGTAAGAGACGTGTCAATTACGGGACAGTATAGAAGCCGGAGGCGACTGAACCCGACGTATATTGGGCAGGCTACAAAAATAGGAAGCAAATCAAGCACAGCGAGAAACGGTGCAGCAAGGTATTCACCAAAACGCTTTGTGTCAACGGATGTGCAGTCAGTAAAACAAGTGGACGTTTTGAAGGTTAAAACAACCGTAAAAGCCAATATTGCAAACTACTGAAAGAGCGTGTTTTCCGGTACACTACAAGAGGCTATGGTTAGAGAAGTGGAAGCAGGCATGTGTGAGGATTGTCCGTTGATGGGAATCGGGTGACCCAGTGGATTTAGAGACAGACGCTGCAGTGCGGTTGGAGCGTCTAGCTCTGCACTTCGGCTTACAGTCAGAGCTTGCTTTGGCTGGTTGACGTATTCGCGTGGCATATTTACTTCCGTGTGATCGATCTTAGTATTCACAAAATGCGCGTTTATCTCACTCGTCCTATCGCACCTTTTCATGAGCAAAGATAAACAGCTGAGAATTAGAATGACTATAACATTTCCCGCAAAGTTACATAAAAGGTCCAACATTTTGCAAAGAATGCGCGAAATTTTGCAAAGAAAGTCCAAAAGTTTGCAAATTAAGTCCAAAATGTTGCGAAACCCTATGCAATTCGCCAGCCGCTCAGAACCAATCTTTTGACCTTAAGTGTGTTCTCGTTGGCCGGATGCTAATGTTCGGTGAGTTAGTCTGGGGAGGTGAGCGCGTCTGTGGGTGAGACTTGTGAATGAACCTTCGAGATATACACTTCGGCGGTGCAACGGGCTTGTATGCGCCCCCCTCACGTCCGAAACGGTGGGTCACAATTTGTCTGAGAGCAATGAACAGCTGGAACATAAGCGCACGACCGAAATCATGTCTATGATTCTAACGTCGTCGGCATGCCTTCTCGCGTTCGACAGAGTATCTCATCAGATATCCGTGACCGAGTTTTGGACGCCTTCGTCAACCCTGATGACTGGCAGCTGGTGGCAACTGTGAACAACGTCAAATAGTAACAGGTCTACTCCTGGATTCGTCGTTCTCTTCATCAGGAGCCGAGTACTACTCAGGCGCGTGGTCGTAAGCAGATTCTGTCGGAGGAAGACGTAGATGACTTCCTGGATTGGATCGCAAGTGACTCAATTCTTACGCGACGGGAAATGCGAGTACGAGTACGAGCAGTAATGGGCAAGGACATTTCGAAGTCAAAAACCACACGGCACCTAGATGGTCGATTGATAGCTATGAAGAACATCTATTTGGTTCCTGAGGGAATGAACAATGAGCGAACCAAATGGATACGCAGAGAATTCGTTCAGCGGTTTCTCCAACTTGAGAGAGATAGCAAGTCCTTCATTTGGATTGACGAAGCGAAATTCAACGTTTACTGCAAAGGTATTTGTGGTCGGGCTCTTAGAGGAGTGAGGGCCTGTCGCAAAGTTGCCAACAGTAGGGGCCTACATTTACATTTGATCGGTGCACTCACAATAAAAGGGAAAGTGTCGATGATCACCCGGAGAGGCTCATTCACAGGTCCCTATCTCTCGAATGGCTGCGAAGCTATTTAGACAACCTGAAACAGGAGATGGAGCTCCGGCAGGTCGTCGTGGTATGTGATAATGCACCATGTCACACAACACTGGTGATACAGACGTTGAGCGCGTCAAGGTCATGCTACACTAACTAGCCTGTGGAGCTGCATTGTGCGCGCTAGTGCGTGAGTGTCCATCTCCCGACTAACCAGCGATGCTTATTGATTGGTTCAAAAGCGAGTGCTTAGCTAAAACATGTGAACTGCGTAAAACTAAACAGTTGATCTTGTACCCAGTGTGGACTGCCAATGTACTATTGCCATTGCTTCTACTAAACTTCCATTTGCAATACTGTTGTTCTGATTTCGGTTGAGTGTAACAACTGGAAGAACTGTAGTCAGTAGATGCATACGAGGGAGTAACCATACTGTGGTTGACCCTATACTTTCCGTTCCTCAATCCGAGCACGAATGTTTGGCAGGTCGTGAAGGCAAGAGTGAAGAATAAGAGTGCACTAAGAGGAACTTCTGGCCTGGGATCCCCAGAAACTCATGATGCAGAGGAAATGGAGGCTGCAGTTCCTTGAACGCATTGCCGGAGCAGCCAATAAGGATGTCAGCGCCGTGGATGTCTATTAAGAGAACAGCTATTAGACATTCATTTTTTCGTGTGAACGAGCTTACTAGCTATTCTTTATTCTTCCTATTTTCTACTTCCTGACTGTTATTTAAAAAATCCACTCTGTTAGCTCGATTGGTACACACACGTCATTGTTAACAGATGCTCATCCCCGTGTCCTCTTCAGCAGTGCCATTTGCAAGAACACATTTCATTGATTTTCCTCCGCATCACTTTTTCTACTTGGTTTTGTTAAAGGAATATTTAGTTATCATACAATTATTGTACTAGTTATTAATTTTTGGGCCTGCATTTCTTATTCTCCTTTGTTTCGTGCCATTTGTTTAAAACGCTACATTTCGTTATTCTGATTTGCCCGTGATCGTCACTGTAAATGGATGTTCGCTTAAGCTTGGAGTCCTATGATGCTATTTTTAAGAATATATGCGATTCGCACTTGATTACACGGTTGCTTATTAGCAGACGCATTTGACGTTTTTTCTTCTGTTTGTTGGCTCAAGTGTAATTTAGTAGCTTCCCTAAATTTTGCCTTCAAAAATATATAACCAAATGTGATTTCATGTATACAAGATTTTTTCTGGCTCCTCTATGGACTACTTCTTGCGGTCGTGGGGCTAAGTCGTCAGCCGCGACATAACAATGTCGTAATGCTATCTGACAAATGCGTGTACAGTTTTCTAAGTGTCCGAAAAGTGACATGGTTTGTTCACGTTACTGGCCTATTTTTTTACGTATCTGGTTGTGCAGCCCGTCACTGGCAGCGCTTAGAGACGTGTGAGTATTCCCAGTGTTTTCAAAATATGTTTGCACATACGTAAGTTCGTGTGTTCGTACGGGGGTTGAAGCGATATATGATGCCTTGCGCAAGGGAATGACACGGGACCGGCTTCCAGTGAGACGCGAGTAATATGTTCAACTTTATCCTTTTCCTGCTGGTATTCGCTGCGCCGTACTCTTTCGTGATCAGCCTGAGATAATGTAGATACTGTTTCTTTGTTCGGAAAACTAGGATGTTTGGAAAGCGCATTGTAGGACAAAATGAGTTCGCCGGGTGAAGCAACCGTCAGATATATCACAGTATGAGATTCTCTGCGTGGATAGTTGAATAGTAGAGAATAGTAAATTATTGCGCACATCGTCTGCCTTTTCCAAGAGTGAGTGGAACTGACAGATGCGCAGATGCGAGTTCGCAAACGCTTCCATTGCCAGACAAGATGTCGTCATTGAAGCTGAACGAATGAATCGCCTGTCTATTGGAAACCGCCTTTGTGCCACGTTTGTCCGCTGTATTTGAGTGCACTGGCGCCTTGATTCGTTGCCCGATTGGAAGTTAGTCTGTCAAGTTCGGAACCCACATCAGCCCGTTCGGAAGCTGCACTTTAGATTTAAGAGCAACCATTCCTACAGTAAGCCCAATTTAATTTGCGTGCCAGAAAGGCCCGAATAGATGTCCACTACGACTTGGATACTGTCTTGATCGTTGGGATGATCCCTCGTTTGACCCAATAGCGTGCGTAAACAACTGGGGGTGTAGTTGGCGCGGATACAGTGGCGTAGCAACTACTTTCGCTTCCCTTGGCGGAAGTACAATTGCTGCCGCTCTCGCAGTCGTCAAGCCCACAATTGGAATTGCCATTCAATATTTCGGTTCACATAACAACAATCACATTTAATTTTGGAGTGCTGTCGTGAATGCAGCTATTTGAATTGTTAAAATACTCGTGTTCAAAAGCTACAGGCACAATCGCACAGGAAGTGCGATTAAACAGTTAGTCTACCTTAATTTGTCAGTCAACAGTATTAGAACCATGAAGCCCAACCTTGCGTAGCCACGCGTCACCACCAGTGGGCAAATAGTTTTATGCTGTGACTGAGCTATGTTCTTAGGCCCAGGTATTTTTGTGGTCACTTCCTTTCTCTTGACTTTACGAAGTAGTTGTTAGAGGAGCAATAAATGTACAGGTATGCCTATGTATCCGTACAAGACTGCAGACGTTCGTTTTGCTCTGGTGGACCACTGATGTTTGTTTTAACATATCATTTCGCTATCCCCATTGGCTATTTAAAGCCGTTATTTTGGCCTTCAGACCGCGGCCCTACTCTGACGACAACACCCACTTTCCGTTCGTTGCGTGCGCCTGATTGGTTCATTATTTGTTCAGTCTTTATTGGCTTTATTTGTCCGCACGCTTTCCGTACACTGGTTGGCCTTCACGCTTGTGCTTCATGCTATGTAACGATGCGGTTTCGCTATGTACAAGAACCCTTAAGCCCTTGTCCCTGGTCGTTCGTGTTCTTACTACCGTTAGTGGATGGAAGCAGTCGCGGGGTGCCGACACAACGGTAGTAGCACTTGTTGAAATTAACCCCATGCTAGATTTCAAGGTTTGATAGGGGAGGATAAGATGTGTTTAACACGTACATAATGTTACAGCGAGTTCCCAGAGTCGATTACTGCACTGACACCTGATTTCTCTTACCTAGGCAGCACGTTGCCTTCAATCTAATCGCCTTCAACTCTGAAATACTGGAATGGCAGTCGAGGGGCCCGAGATTGGCTGATGAGCCAACATGCCACGATGCGATCGCGTGGATCGACCAACTGGAAGCCATTGGAAGCACTTCGACTGACGTGGCACTACAACGGGCAGCGCAGCAACTCAAAACAATGTGTCCTCGGAATACGTTGTTAGCTGAACAGCATCTGCCTCTCTGGTTAACAAAGCCTGAGGAGGAGGAAAATGAAGTCGATACGAAGGGAGATAAGCCGGTGGTGAAACGAGCAATCTACTTAATAACTGACGGGAAACCGGACAAGAGCTGCGCATCCATATTGAAATCAGTACAAGAGTGGTTGGATTCGGACAATGCCCCACCGCCTTCTCCCTGTCCTCGAACATTCGAAACCAACAGTGGTGGGAAGAGAAAGCAACAGTTGATGAAGTTACGAGGACTCATACCAGTTCACGTCATTTCACTCGCATCGGGCCAGTAAGTTACTCACTGCGTGTTGATTCTACCATTCCTCGTAAATGTTACCTCAAGCCCGTATGCAGCGCAGATAACACGTCTCAAATACATACTTTCTATACATCCAACTGAACAGGATGATAATCTATGTTCTATGCAAAGAATTTGTCGAACACTGGAAAGGATAAGGCTGGGATGTTGACCTTATTTTATGTTATTCCTCCCAGTTGCCGACTCGATCCCGGTCAGTTGTGGAAGTCTCTTGGCTTGGTTGGCTCACGTGCTCTCTGTGGTGAGTGATGCGGCACTAGTTTTTTAGGTCCTAGAGCCGACATTTCATTTGTGTGTCACGTGACGCATCATTGATGCGGTTAAGCAACCACCTGAAGGGTGGACGTGCTTGTCACACAGGCCCGGATGCTGGGTCACGATGTAGCGCGGACAGCGAGTGTCCCCCCGTCCGCTTCGCACTCGGTTGAGATGTCCGAGAGAATGTCAATCGATTCCGAGAAAAAAATGGGACATTTCTGCCAGTAACGAGTTCTAAAGCGTTTTCTGCACGGAACGGGGGTAACTGGGTCTGTTGTTGATTCTAAGGCGAAACGAATAAGCAGTTGCGGTCACTCTGCGGCGCGAGGAAGAGGGTTGGGATAGTCACGTGGTTGCCAAGGCAGTAACACTAGGGCATGTACGACGCTGTGTCAGCTATAGGGTCATTCACCACTCACTTCTGCAACGCGAAGCGAGTAACGGAGGGCCGATGAGTGAACAATGGACTAATTGTTATCACAGGTAAACAAGCAGGTGCATGGCAAGTCCCGTAGGATGGTTGGGATTAGACTTGCAAAATCAAATGATCTGTGCATCCTCTATTTAAGGGCCTAGCGAGTCAAATGCGTTGCTGATTAATGACAGTGTAAAGTAAGACTTGTATGCAAGCATACAGAACAACATGAAAAGCAGCGATAGTTAACGTATTCTGTGGGCGCTCACTCATGTATTTTCTCCATATGATACGTAAGTCTGGTATGAGGGTGTAAGTGTCACTATAGATGAAATGGTGTGCTCTATATGTCTGGCCTCATGCACGGCTTCATTCACGGGACGAGGAAGCAAAACTCAATGTATAAAATTAAACGTGGTACAGTTAAATGTACACAAATGACTTCTACTAATCATGCAGCAGCAGCCTCAATGTTGATCAACAGTGAACAAAAACAACTTCAACACTGTATTCCCAGTCAGCTGTGAATTTGGCTCAAGTCAAGTCAAGTCAGTATAAGCTTTATGTACCCAAAAGGGTGCATTTTCAGCATTTTAAATTATCAACGGTAAATTTACTAATGGGTTACCATTAACGATGTAAAGTTTACAATGGGTAGAAAATTGAGGATTCTGTCATTGATCGACCGAGCAACGATTCCAAAAAAACTGGACTAAAGCTTCGAGATTTGTATCCATTGAAAACGGAATAGTTTCATAAAAATGTTTCTTCAAAATTCATTTCAATTGACGTAGAATTTTGTGTCCAAAGCCAATAGATCGCGGATCGAGCGCGATATCTCGCGTATATGTTCAAACTTGTATGGAGCAAACAGCCTCAGTGACTCATGCAACTACTGAACTAGACACAGTAGATAAGGTAAAATGTTGCTCGGCGAAAAAGGCAACGGCCGATTTAAATGCCCCACCAAGCAACCACTCGTCGTTGTTCTCCGCGCGCAGAGTGAATTTGGGACCATGATGAAACGATCAGCAGCAGCCAGCACGTCAACGGTGAAGTGCGTGGTGATGAAATACCAGGACGGTGATGTGAATAAACAAGTGTCACGTTGGTGTTTTGTATTGGGAGTGGTTGTGCACAAAGGGTATAGTAAAAGCAAACTAAATATATACCTATGCTGACGAGTAGGAGAAAGGGATAAACAATTCCAAGTTGAGATTTGTGAATCTATAAATCACGGAGGGCCTGTTTAGTTGTTACGCAGTAGCGCAGCTTAGGTAACGTAGTGCTAGGAGCTAAGGTTAAAATCCAATCGCTTTTTGAAGGTATCTAAAATGGAGGAGGAGACAACTGATACTGGGAGAGAGTAACAAGTTTAGCAAACCGGAAGTGAAAGTAGTTACCTCGGCATTATAGACGGCTGTAATCTTCAAGCAGTTTCAAGCAGCTACCTCTAAGCTTGGTGTTGTAACTGAGTTCAGCGAATAGCACCACACGTGATTGCGGTTACTCATTATTTACTAGACTAATATGAGATCACGACGTAGTCATCAATGGCGTCTGCTGAAGACGCCCAGCAACTTCAGCTTTTGCTGTTAAGTGTTTGCGAGCGCCTTGACATTCTTCGTGCCCCTGCCTTACGATGCCTCTAGCACCTATACGTCGCCCTTCATCCAAGTTTGCCAAGCTTGGATAACATATTCAACTTGAGGGTGCGCATAAGAATTGTGCGTCACTGAGAACGTTGTAGGGTCTAAAGTCCCGAATTCCCTCCGCAGTAGACCGACGTGCTGTTTACCTCTTCTCACATCTGCGTCAGTCCATTTTGAACAATTTAGGTCATTCTGTATGCGCATGATTTGGCCCCGTTCCTGAAAACTGGCTTGCAAGCTGTGTGCCCCGGACCTATAAATGTATGCATGCTTATGACGCAGCCGAACATCTGGACGTTTTTCTACGTAGAATGATAGATTTTGAACTGAAAAGCTCGAAGTCGTTTTAAGATCGCGCTGATGGCCTTTTTCGGTCGTACGGTCCCCTGATGGCCAGTTATTTCTTGACATCACCTATGAAGAATAAGAGATAGGAAGTAGTTTTCTTCCCTGGATAATTTATGAAAACCAACAATAGGCGAGGTTCTATGTCGAGCAGTGTAGTAGATCGCACACCTAGGCTGCATCGGACGGGGATTGCAAGACTCCCATCTCCAATCGACGCTCATGTAGAAAGTTATCTATCGAACCCAGGATTGGGGCCCCATTGTTAGAGTTCCGTAGCTTGTGGAAGAGAATTCGATGGTCGAAGTGATCAAACGCTTTTGAGGAGTCCAGGTAGATGACATCGACTCCCACACCATCACAAATTGTCTCGGTCCAGCTATTGCGTACAGTTAATAGGCTATTATGCTGTAGTTTTCCAGATACTACATCATTGCATCTGCGATGATTGATTCCGTAACCTAAGAAAGCACACGAAGTAACCTTATCGGACGGGGATTGGCACAGTCCGTGCAAATGCGACCCTTCTGAATAGAACTGATGACCCATCGCTACCATATTGGTGGAATTTTGTTCTCGCTAGCCAGTGCTGGTAGGAAATAGTCATCGCTTTCACTAGATCACTGGTTGCTGTCTGCAGAGCCTTCGGCTGAATGTTATCGACTCTAGTAAAGCTGCAGGTACGCAGGGAGAACAGCATTTTAACAGCTTCTGTTGCGAATGCGATATTGGACAAATCTGCCGGTAGGGCAATAAAGACAGAAATGGGATTTTGGCTCGCTACAGCGGTAGTAGGCGGGAGAGCCTATGGTGCGCTGAGGCTAGATCCTGACAGATGGTCTACCCACTGTTGTTACTGTCGTGGCGACCGATGGGTGGTAGTTGGGTTACGCCCTTCTCCATGCTAATATCCAGGACACTAAATCCGCATGAGCCAATGAACTGACCATGTGCTAGACCCACTGCCTGTCGGGTGTACATTTAATCTAAGGCCTTGGCTGAGGACCCGAGTCGTTCTCCTCTCGGGTGTGGGCGCCCTGGCAGTATCCTAGTCCATCCTCTTCGGAGTTTAGGAAGTGGTCGATGGCCCTCTTCCCGTAAAACCTAGCCTTGGGAGACAACAATTCTACGGGTTATAAGCTCACTACCTTATCGGCTTGGAGCACGAGCACCACGCGTGGTCTCTGACGGTTGGAGGGCACCTCCGTGTGTTCATTGGTTTGCTACTGCCCCCCTCAAGCCAGGCAGCCCCTGATCACATTGGTGCAAACCCGCCAAAACCCTCTTGCGTCTGGCCGTGGTCGCAGGTGCGCAACCTACTACGGTCGCAAAACACAGTTAAATCGTTCCAATACCTCAAAGGCTGCATGTTACGGACCTCAAACGGATCCCAATCTGTCTCCGCAATCACATTCCCGAGCCGGATCTGCTCCCCACTGCCCTGTGGGTAAGGCTATTGAGTCAAAGGCTTTGGGCAGAGTCCCTCAAGCAAACATCAAAGTCACCCACTGCCTTGCTGGTCAGGCTCTTGAGCCACAGACGCCGGGTGAAGTCCCTCAAGCAAATCTCCGTAGCACAACCGCCGCCTGGCATGCGACTGCCCACTAATGCAATCGTATGCCTGCACTCAAAGCACTCAACCTCGGGTACTGGAACGTGTGCATACTCCTGGACCGGAATTCGAGCGAGCATCCCGAGCGAGGCACTGCACTGGTCGCGATGGAATCGGCGCGGTACAACCTCGACATTGCGGCGTTCAGTGAGACCCGGCTCGCTGAGCTCAGCACCATGTGAACATGGAGTCAGAGTTGCACTGTACGATCGTCTCCATGACCAGCTGGAGGAGGAACCCACTGGCATCAGCGCGCGACTGATAACTGTTCGTATACGACTCAGAAGAGGTAAGTTTATCACCTTTATAAGCACGTACGGTCCAACCACGTGTTATCCTGATGACACTCGTGATCAATTCTACACTCAGCTATCCTCCGTGATACGGTCTGTGCCGAGGAGCGACCGACTATTTCTGCTGGGTGATTTCAACGTGCGCGTTGGGCGTGATGCATCGGTGTGGACAGATTCATCGGTCCCCATGACATTGGTTCAGCGAATGCGAACAGTGACAGACTACTCACACTGTGTGCCACTCACGGCCTGACGATCACGAAAACTCGGTTTCCATTGAATGCGAGTGAAATAGCAACTTGGACGCACCCACGGAGTGGTCACGCTCACCTGCTTGACTATCTAATTCTATGTCAGCGTGCCAGACGTGAAGGGCGCATGAAACGTGTACTAGG